TCTTAGGAACCTTAAGTGCAGCAGAATTTTTTTTGTAACCTTGGCCAGATCTGTGCCTTGCCAGAATTTTGTCTCTGAGCTCTTCAGGCAGTTCCTTTGACCTCATGATTCTCATTTGCTCTGACATGCACTGTGAGCTGTAAGGTCTTATATAGACAGGTGTGTGGCTTTCCTAATCAAGTCCAATCAGTATAATCAAACACAGCTGGACTCAAATGAAGGTGTAGAACCATCTCAAGGATGATCAGAAGAAATGGACAGCACCTGAGTTAAATATATGAGTGTCACAGCAAAGGGTCTGAATACTTAGGACCATGTGATATTTCAGTTTTTCTTTTTTAATAAATCTGCAAAAATGTCAACAATTCTGTGTTTTTCTGTCAATATGGGGTGCTGTGTGTACATTAATGAGGAAAAAAAATTAACTTAAATGATTTTAGCAAATGGCTGCAATATAACAAAGAGTGAAAAATTGAAGGGGGTCTGAATACTTTCCGTACCCACTGTATATGCACAATATTATTCAAATTTAAAAGTAAAAAATAAAAATTTTGAACAATTTCGCTATTAGTAAAAATAAATAAATGAATAATCCTTTGATGGCGTCTAATATAGTTATTTTAACCAGCCGGGCTTGCATTCAAAATTACATTTGATAATGATTATAAATTTAAAAATAGCTAAAGACGTTATTTGGAATATTTTATTTTATTTTGTATTTTATTTTATTTTTTTCTAATGTAGTGGATAGATTAATGGGCATAATTATTATTTTGTTTTATTCTAAAAAGAAACAATTTGTTTTGTTTTTTCTTTGTTACGTAATCGTGTTTCTTGATGTTTGTACATTACAATAAAAAATCGCGCATCAATGGGTTAAATTTACCCTATTACACTAAAAAATGCTCGTAAATTGCACAAATAATTACAAAGAAACGGAAGGTAATACATTGAATTAAACGTGAAGATTTTGAAATAAAATTCGTGTAAAACGTAGTACAAAAAAACCTTAGTTTATTTACAACTTAATTTTTTTTCCTAATCATACTTTATTGTAACTATGGTAAAGTGAACGATTCTAAACTCTTGTCGTTCCCACCTAAAAACTACTACTACTTTTTGTTTTTTTAATATTAAAAATATATTATTTTGTAGCACTGGACTCTCCAGAGAATAAAATACTCTATTACTTACTAGTTTGTTATTAAATGGGTTAATTTGTGGAAGTACAAAAGATTTTTAAGAAATGTGTGTGTATAGAGGCTGGACCTAGAGTTCCTCTGTTGGTTCCGCCTTGCCCTGAGTGCAGAATGGGGTGTGAATACTAAAGCAGCAGATGGTGAGCAGACACAGACAGAGGGTGGGGGCTCTGGAGGGCTTTTGTCTCCTGTGACTATTGAACCCCGGTAATCTGAAACTAAATTACACCCCGAATCCCGACACCCGCGGAAGGTAATACATTGAATTAAACGTGAAGATTTTGAAATAAAATTCGTGTAAAACGTAGTACAAAAAAACCTTAGTTTATTTACAACTTAATTTTTTTTCCTAATCATACTTTATTGTAACTATGGTAAAGTGAACGATTCTAAACTCTTGTCGTTCCCACCTAAAAACTACTACTACTTTTTGTTTTTTTAATATTAAAAATATATTATTTTGTAGCACTGGACTCTCCAGAGAATAAAATACTCTATTACTTACTAGTTTGTTATTAAATGGGTTAATTTGTGGAAGTACAAAAGATTTTTAAGAAATGTGTGTGTATAGAGGCTGGACCTAGAGTTCCTCTGTTGGTTCCGCCTTGCCCTGAGTGCAGAATGGGGTGTGAATACTAAAGCAGCAGATGGTGAGCAGACACAGACAGAGGGTGGGGGCTCTGGAGGGCTTTTGTCTCCTGTGACTATTGAACCCCGGTAATCTGAAACTAAATTACACCCCCAATCCCGACACCCGTCCACGCGCCCGGTCGCTGCGCCTTTATTCTGACGTGAGCGCAGATCCCATCATCATCATCATCATCACCATCCCGGCTCGCGTTCTCGGAAATCAAAGCTGCTCCCAGACCGGTGCCATGTCTTTCCAAGGCAAGAAGAACAACCCTCGCGTGACGGTAAGAAATGTTAGCGATTAAAACCCGAGGCCACCGGTGAATGTTTGCTAGCTGCATTAACGGAGACATAGTGATGTTGAGGAGGAGGAGGAGGATGGTTTTATTGTGCAGTCAAGGGTGAGCCTCCTCCGCCGCCGGCAACAACCTGCTGTCCTCCAAACACTGCTGAGATAGCCGGTGAACATTTAAGAGCTACACTAATGCATGCAATGATGTGACAAACGTGGATAAAAACGCTGCTTCAGTGATAATGTGTTCATGTCCGTAGACAGGGTTTGAAAATTAGTGAGGTCTGGGGTGTGGTTAAGTGCTATGATAACCCTGTGCCGGTGTGGCCCTGACCAATTTGGTGCCCTAGGCAAGATTTTAGCTGGTGCCCCTCGCATCGCAGCCAATTCCACAACCGATCATTCACACAGAAACTGCATAGCTTTATGACATAAAACAAATTACATATGAAATAAATAAATAAATATTCTGATATTAACTCAGCTAGCTTTAAATTAGAGAACGTTATCGTCCAAAGGCAGCTACAATACTAACATTTAAATCTTAATTTCTTCATTTCAGACATTCATAAATGTAGGTATGCACTGATCTTAACTTTTCATGGCAGAATCCAGTACTGGTTTTTAATGTCTTATTTAAGCAAAAGACAAGAAAGAATGAAAACATGAGTGCATGAAGAATATGGTTAGTTGCTTTATAAGCATATATTTTGATCTAAATTAGACTGTATAATTTCAATAAGTTACTAATTATAATGCTTACATTTCCTCAGTTATTCAAAAAGCAGCTACAGAAAACGAGCAAAGAACATTGCATTACCAAAGAACATAATCACATATACTGTATGATGAATAAATCTCTTATACTTACATCGCACATACATCTGCACTTTGTTGTTTATGAGGAGAGAATTCGCGAGAGAGCAGAATTCAGCAGCGAGTGCGCGCACTGAACAAAACTCCGGTGTTTCAGCCAGGGCCGGCCCTGACCAATTTAGTGCTCTAGGCAAGATTTTAGCTGTGCCCCTTGCATCGCAGCCAATTCCACCACCGATCATTCACACAGAAACTGCATAGCTTTATGACATAAAACAAATTACATATGAAATAAATAAATAAATATTCTGATATTAACTCAGCTAGCTTTAAATTAGAGAACGTTATCGTCCAAAGGCAGCTACAATACTAACATTTAAATCTTAATTTCTTCATTTCAGACATTCATAAATGTAGGTATGCACTGATCTTAACTTTTCATGGCAGAATCCAGTACTGGTTTTTAATGTCTTATTTAAGCAAAAGACAAGAAAGAATGAAAACATGAGTGCATGAAGAATATGGTTAGTTGCTTTATAAGCATATATTTTGATCTAAATTAGACTGTATAATTTCAAAACCTGAAGCAAAAACAGAATGGTCTGACTTTAGCTTTGTGAAATTAGGCTACACAAAACATACCAAACAGCAGATGGGCTGAATGAAAATGCAAATTCACTCTCTGTCAGCAGGTGGCGCTTAATGAACAGCAGTGGTGCATTGTTTCCTTGATTACCGCTCTAAACACAACGCATACTGAGGCAAGATGAAAGGAAAATGCCATCTAAAGTTTTTCTTAAGACAGTCCGTTCCCCTCAGAGATGCTCATTGTGAACAGTGAAGCTTGCTCTGCCTGCTAGTGTATTTGAAGAGTTCAGATGCAAACGCCTATAAGTGCCATCAAAATTTTCATCTAAAATTAGCATTTTTATCAGGCTCCTATATGTTTAGGTTCAGTAATTTTATTTTAATGGCAATGTATAGGTCCTTTTCTATGCCATTAAAGTGAAATAACGGTTATGTGTTTAATTTGCCATTGCGGCGGCTTGTTCCCGGTTTCTCGTGTCCATTGTGTCTTTCTTTCATTCATGTCGGCTCATTCCTGTCGGTCTGACATCTTTGTGAATATGAAATACGCATTTTGGCTTTATAATACAGTCACTGCACCACATTGCACAAAATGTCAGAATTTAACATTTATAAAACATGTATTATTATATATATATATTTGAATACGTTTCCCAGATCCCATCTTTGTAGCATCTCTCTAGCTAGCTGGTTTAGCTGCTAGCTACTGTAAACTTACTGTTACTGTTAGTTGCTGTAAAATATGCTAGTACAATGAAAGGCCACAATGACTTTTAAATTGGCCTCCAGCAGCTGTGGTCAATAATTACAGAAGAAGATAGAGCACATTACAGACACAAGCACAAACCACACCAGCATACACAGTACATGTAACAGTAACACGAGTACTTTTTAACAATTTTCCTGTTAGTAAAAATATTAACCCTTTGATGCACACTTTCTACTACAGTTATTTTAACCATTAACATTATTTATTTATGAAAAAAAAAATTTTTTGTTATGTAGTCATTCTTAGATCAGTGGGTTAAGTTTACCATATTACTTTGCCATAGTTACTGTATTGTGGTAAAGTGAATGGGTAAATTCACTCTTTCATAGTTTCCCACCGATCATAACTGTGACCAAGAATAACATATATTCTTTTACACTCTTATTTTATTTATTTTTTTTACTTTTTTGTTTGTTTTTTTAATAAACTTTTGTAGATGTTTTACATCATTTCATTAATTAATTGCTTTTTGAATATTTGACCATGAATGTTAGGAATCGCCTTGTTACACATAATAAAATATTTTGAGTAAGTAAGGTAATAAATATTTTGTACTAATATAGTATATACTCATCTATACTAAAATCCCTTTTAAACTTTTTTTTATTATTTTACAGTAAAATTACATGTATTGTCCTAAAATATAAGGTACGTTAAAGACAATTAACAGGTTTTCATTGTAGCATTTTTACAGTCTTTTCTTCAAAGTGTTAAAATACTTTTTTTTTACTATGTGGAGCAGTCAATATGGTGTACATTTCCTAATTATTTTTCTAAAAACAGTTTTATATTTAAAACAAAGATTATTATTTATATGTTCATGATCATGTCAGGTTCCAGTAACAAAAATGATGTGGTATTATAGTGTATGCTTTACCAATAACCATGACCCAAAGACAGTAAAAGGGTTAATAAGAGAGGATCCATGTGCACTGCAGGAGCGAGAAAACCCAGGACAGAGTGATATTAACACGGCCAAATTGGATCCAGTTCCCTTCCACACAATTTGGCATTGCAGCGTGACCACTAGAGTTCCCTGTCTGACCCACATTCAGAGCACAGAAACACACATACTCCGCATTACGTTGATTTGGAAACATCTGCATAAAAAAAAAAATCATTAAGTGATGCAAATTACTGAGAATAATTGCATATTAATTCATGCAGTGTTTAATAATATACTCCTATAATTCATTACTAAAGGCTCTGGATATTCAGTACTATAAGGTGAAGGGTCGTCCTGCATCCTAAACCCCTCGCTGTCTTTCTCGTCTCTCTTCAAGCAACATTGTGGCCCAGAATCGGAAATGCTAGGCAGGGATTTTGGCCGTGCCAACGATGGGCCGCCTGTGGAAGTGTCAGATTGCATTAAAGTGAAGCTCTGTGGGTTGCACACCACCCCGGCCGGCGCAGTGAATGTGGTGAAATACCCTTCAGCAGAATTCTAGAGATGTTTATTTCGTTTCTTTCTTTAACCATGCCCGTTTGGACTCTTTCACCTTGTGAGAGTTAGGTTTTGTGCCATGAGTTGAGGTTGGCACTGTCTAACAGCACCGTGAATGATGTCTCATGCCTGGGTGACCTAACAAACCCAGTTGCCTGGCATAGATCCATGCCAGGGATAACTGAACAGGCATTGGTCTCCTGTAGCTGGGATTGTGATTTGGACTCATCAGAAATGGTGCAAAAACGGCCAGTGAAAAATGTCAGTCACTATGCATTGATGCAAAACAACAGTCATGCATGAATAATAAAGTAAATAGAAAAGTGTTGTTACAGATGAATGGAGTTGCCTGTTATCTTTCTTTTGTATTCTCTGTCTGGATTTTTTAATGTCTGGTTTTTGAATGATATAATCACTCTGATTAGCTTCTTAAAGAGCGCTTCATATTGCATAGGAGGATTTGCATGCATTATACAGCTCTTTGTGCTTTGTGAAATTACTGTATATCTACATCCAAAGCTCTTTGGAACTGCAGGTCAGCATGGTCTCAGTGAAATTCAAAGCCTTTTAGTTAAATATAATGATCTTTGGGGTATCTTAAAACTGAATATCAACTTCTTGGTGTCAGTGACACCAAACCTGTATTAAAAAGTTAGAATATGTGCATATGCACATTTATGTAGAAATGATAACAGTATATTCATTTGTAATTGAATGATCACTTTAAAGTTACATCTCTTACAACTTAAAAATAACACGCTGCACTAAAGTCATGTTGTATGTCTTCTTTCTTTTTTTTCTCCACAGAGTGATAAACTCATTATTAAAGGTGGAAAAATCGTAAATGATGACCAGTCATTTTATGCCGACATTTACATTGAAGATGGAACCATTAAGTAAGATTTCATTATTTCAAACATCTGCATTAGCCATTCAAACATTTAAAAACATTCTAAACTTTACTTTGAAAAATAGCTTATATTTATTTTTAATTAGCATTATATTATATTATGTTCTATTATATTATATTATATTATATTCAGGGTTGTCAGGTCTGCATAATGACCTTAGCCTAAATATCAAAACTCAAAACATGCCACTCGCATACCTAAAATACATATTTTACAGTTACATTTATGCGTTATTCACAATTTCAACGTGGAAATTATTATACAGTAGTTATAATAACCACAGACTTTTTTCATTAAGGCTCCCCTCAGGTTTATCATTGGTAGAATATCAAATATTTCAATACATGCATTTCAGTCAAATATAATTTATGCAATATGTCAAACCATTAACACATGGGGGGGAAAAAATGGACCCACAGCATCAGTTTAAAAGTAGCTCAAGACTTGGCAACCCTGATTCTATTATATATATTGTACATTTCATTTAGCAGATTCTTTTATCCAAAGCGAATTGATGAGGGATATCACAAGCAATTTGTATTGATTTATTATTCTGGCATGCAGGCAGATTGGTGAGAACCTCATTGTACCCACCGGCGTGAAGACAGTGGATGCCTATGGGCACATTGTGATCCCGGGAGGCATCGATGTGAACACCTGTCTACAGGCCCCTCACCTGGGCATGACCCCGGCAGACGACTTCTATCATGGCACCAGAGCTGCTCTGACGGGAGGAACCACCATGATCAGTATTCTAGCATGGCACCAGAGCTGCTCTGACGGGAGGAACCACCATGATCAGTATGACATTACATCGACATCTTATAAGGACAGAGGAGAAGAGAGCAGAAGACTTACAGTAGTTATCAGATCATTAAACTTGGAATGGATTTCTAGTGGAACAGAAAGGAGGGTCTCTGCTAAAGTGTGTGTGTGTGTGTG